GTATCTGGGGATCTTGTTCACGGATGGGGATCTGTGTTGGGATCTGTTTTAATCACAAGCCAATTCATAACTAATATAACAAAGTGTTTAAATAAAAGCAAAATGAGAWAAAAACACAGGAACAGCCTTGAAAATGAATAATACAAAAATACATAAAGACCATAACTGATACCTCATATGGCATACATTTGTATCATATCCATGTGTGTAGGATTAAAATACAAAGCTGCTTTCCATTTCCATGTTTTTTTTCCAGTGTTTCATCGTTCTGACGCCACTGGGATCTGAAGCAACACAGAGCAAAGCTATAGATGCTATTGAGTTGGAAAAAGCTTCAGGGTTTCTCTTTTCAATTTCAGCAGGTAGGAAGCTCCAGATCCCACACATAAGAGGGAATGGTGGGGAGTGGTGGCGCAGAGGGTGGAGAAGCCAAGTCTGTGACTCGAGTAGGTCTGCCACGATTAGTCAATTATTAAAATAGTCCATGACTAATTTAATAATTGATTAGTCGTTTTTATTTTTTATTTTTTTTTGTTCTTTACTTTGTTTTTCTCTCCAAACTGCTTTGACACCTTCCACTGCCACAACTGCCTTTCTGTCCTTGACACACATGTGCAGTAGTGGTAACCGGAGTAGGCCGTGGACGTCACAAGACATTATACAGACAGGCTCTGGTATCATGGCTACCCGGTAATGGAGCTCAAAAGTGTGGGATCATTTTAAGAAAATGAAAGAGAAAGTAAAACTGAAAGGATAAAAATCAGCAGTCCTTTTTAATGCTGAAAACTACCCGTACAAAAAACCCTTTATTAAAACATTCACACTTGACATTTCATGTTTCTTATCACATATTAAGATAGCCTGTATGGGGTACTTAATTTTCTTCAAAAAATCTTRTAAAATAACTATTTTGTACATGACTCAAAGTAATAATAACATTGTCCATCTTCAGAATTCAACTGACACCCCCCCCCCCCATCTACTTTATTTGGACTAGACTTCATGCATCAGATTATAGTTGGCTCTGTTGGTAAATTTCAGAACTCAAAACCACAATTTAATGTTCTGGCTTCCACAAATTTTGGTTTGACCATAGTGTAGCCATGATTCCCTGTTTCTCCAAGACATTGGACTAAAATATCCACTTAGACTTTGCAAAAGCTGCGTATAGCCAAGAAACAGAATGCAGCATCAGATGACCCAGCTTCAGCTATCACTGACCTTAATCCCACTGTGAAGGTTTCAAATGAGTTAAGCCAAAGACAGAGCGACGAGCATGTGTGAGAACTGAGCTATAACAACAGAGATGCAAGCTATCAACAACCTGGAGTTTAAAATTCTATATACATTTGCATGGAAAAGTAAATCTGAGGGCTCCGCCCAGGCAGCTGATGTCTCAAAACACTGTTTCTGCACACATGCTGCTCTCCAGCAGCTGAGCCAAATTCACAGAACATAAATACAAAAAACAAAAGAGCAACTCGGTGACAACAGCAGCTATAATTCAACAGGGAAATGTCTCTCTGTAATTCATAGCAATTTGAGGTGAAGAAGCACATGAAAATGCTCCGCAGCTGTGCTCTATTCCCAAATGAGCCTTACTGTAGATCCATTATTTCTCAGCAGATCAAACACATCTGACTGGCTGCGTGTCAGATCCTCCCAGCCTTTCATTTGGATATATTTATGCCTTTTCAAAGCAACCCCATCATTCTGCCAGTGAAGGTGAGTCAATGAAGCCATAAAGGACCGAGCTGTAGTTTTCTTCACCCAGAACATGAGCTGCACACAGATGCCACAGAGGCTTTAAAGCTAAATCCCGAGTCATTTCCGTTTAATTTTGAACTGAAAATGCCTTCCATCGACGCTGAATGAAATAGTCCTCCCCACCTCTCGCTTATAATTTCCATTGCAAAACAACAAACTTTCCAGCTTTTTGAGAGCTGGAAACAGAGCCTTCTGRGCACGCCAAGCTGCTCCCCAAGGTAAAACTGCCCTACTTCCGTGAGTGTCCTCAGCATCCATCTGCCGCACCCGTAAATTGTGTTCGCCTGCAATTGCAGGTTATCTCATCTGTCAAAGCAGCCCTATCAATTTCACCGAGCAGTCTCAACAGAAGGCATTAACCCTCCAGCGTCATCCTGGCATCAAGCATTGAGGGACAATAAATGCCACTGATACCTCTGTATCAGATGAGCAGAGCTCAAACTAATGTTGTGACTGGCTGTGGCAGGCAGCATGAATAACAATGAATGCAAAGTGAGAATTAATTAAAGTCTCACTCTTGTTGTTCTCTGGCWAAAATAACACAATTATCTACTTCAAATGGGACGATAAGCAGAGTTTAGTCAGACAAAAAATAAACTATGCTTGAATTTARYAATAAACTGATTTTTCAAGAAGTAAAATTGATCGGATAATCTGTGTTAAACAGTTAAGTCTAGAAGCGAAATGTTTGTGTATAAAAGCCTAGAATTCCTTGAAGTAATGCACGTCATCCACCACATTTACAGCTATTTTAGACAACTCCTGTAAATCACCTAATGTTCTATCACATGTTGTGAAATCTAGTGAGATATGTGAAAGTTTAGAGTGTAACAGGTACCACTACTAATTAAAGTCAGATTGTTTTGGTGTATAACAATCCACTGTGTTGGCCATCTTAACAAAGGGTTAACAAGAAATTAATGAAATGAAGATGTCCTGAAAGTTTCATTAAGATCATCATGAAATATTTTGCTAATGGTAAAGATTTGTATTTATCCTTTATTTAACCAGGCACAACCTACTGAGAGAGATGTCTTTTTTCGAGAGAGGCCTGATAAATAAACACACACAAACACAAAGACATGAGGGAAACATTAATGCCGCTTTGCCTTCGGCACCAGGCAATAAATATTTACACACAATCAGCCTTTTTTGTTTTTTGCTTCCCAGAAGCACTTAAGAGACTATTTATCTGAGTTTAGATGCTGAGGGAGAGTCACTTATAACATTTTAATGTTTGTTTTCTAAAATGATAAAAGGTATAATGTGGCTTATTATTATTTTTTTGCTGTTATGTTATCTGTCATTTTTTGTTTTTGTCCGTTCAGAATATTAGGAAAAAATACTATCTTTTGTATCTCATTTATTGTTTTCTTTTTTAATCAACATTGATTAAAAAAACAACTTCACATATACCGTGGAATCTAAATATATACTGTTTTAAAAGTTGTTTTAATTGCATTTAAATGATATTGTAATACAATAAAACATGGCAGAAGCATAAAAAGCTGCAACTGATTTGGCACTYTACCAAGTCCAAAGGTTATTTCAGAGCTAAAAAAAAAAAGCCAAACCAGTTTGTCAATTTACACTAACTCCAATAATTATCAGATATGTAATTAAGTAGCTCTTTGGTAAGCAGTTTAGTTWGGATGGTGAACCATTAACCTAACTAAGAGGCCTAACCCTGTTTAGCATTTAGCTGTTAATAAGCTAACTAAGGTTTTCCTTTGAAACCAAAGCATTCGAAACAGTCTCCGCTTTACATTTTGTGGATGTGTTGATAACTTTAATAAAGAGGACAGAATGCTAAAGTCATTATGTCTGAACCAACCTCTCTGTTGGCTTGACCAAGTTGGTAGAACTTGAGGTTGAAAAAAAATGAAATGGACTGAGAGGAGACACAGTTTCACACTTTTTGGACAAAAAAAAGTTAATATTTAGTTGCAACCTCTGTGGAAGATAGCAATTACAAATGAAAACAAAACACTGTTAAAGAATGAGGCACAGCACAGGCTAAGCTTCCCAATTTCTCTTTCACAGTTTAGCCCACAGAGCCTGGGAGATAAACTAAAACATTCAGTGACAACGTGTTGCATTTTCAGCATCATGCTAAAAGCAAGGAGCTTTAAGAAATCCATAAAAATCAAACCAGATCAGATGAATGRCTGTGGACCTGCTCTGAACTGGGTGGAAACTAGTTCTACTGCTGAAGCCAACACTTTTTACTGTGCGAGTTGATTTCTGCTGAGATAAACTGCAATTGAACAAATTMAGCCACTTTAGGTGAGAAGAAATCCAGATTTTCATGAGTAAAGCGATGATGATTTCAATCGTTAGGGGCACAGCTTCGCTCGGAAAAGTCTTGTCTCTGTCTGCCTAAAAGGAAATCATTCATGGTGGGTCTTTTAGGAGGGGAAACTGCCTCTCGAGTGTCGATCAAAGCCCCACTGTAGCAGTGGAAACCCTCCCTCATTGACGCAGTTGGACTTCTCGGCGCTGTCCGCGGTGCTGATCAGCCTCTACTGTCCGAGCAGCTGGGCTCTGCTTCAGGATACGGATTTCTTTAATGCTGCCGTGTAATCCACAAGAGGGAGGGTGGTGATTACAGTAGGTGGTAGCGTTAGTGCCTCACGGTGGCCACTGGAGCCTCTAACCAGATGGCCACACAAAGGCGTTTGCGCGCGCGCACACGAGCTCATATGTTGGGAGTAGCTGAGGAGAGTTTGGAAACGCGACCTGTCTTAAATCAACCTCAAATAAAAACATCTCAGCAGTCTGTTCGTGCAGTTTGAAGGCAGTTTSATGCCGGGATCACAAGGGGACGATTTGGAATGCACATGAAGGATCCATGCGCGTCGGACACATCGGACCTCTCAGCTTATCCATTAGCATGAGAATGCAGCTTCCTTTCCTCTACAGATGTACATTTCTAATTAAATTAAATCTCCGTCTGAGAGCTCCACCGGTGATTAGGATACTTTGAARCTGTGATTGTCCCAAAGTCAGAGCCACCCTTCATCCAATAAACAGCCCCACCTMCTTTTGACAATTTAAACCCGATGAATTCACGGCACTCGCATCAAAATCGCTGCACCTTAAACTGCGAGCAAAACATGAAGCACAAACATCAAACATCAACGCAATAAACCGCCAAGTGCAGATATAATCCCTGCGGACTGCGCGGCAGTCTCATCAAGTGCACGTTTCAAACACATGAGGTTATTTCTTACCTGCACTTGCGGACAATTATCCATTATGTGCCACCAGAGGCTTTGCCTTTCCCCCCAGGTTAGAGCCTCACAGCCACTCCTTTTCGATTCATCCACTAAATCCGAGACAGAGCTGCAAAACAAACTGCCTCCCGAGCCGCATATCGCTTCCTCTCTTGCACTTGACAAGATTTGTTGTTTTTTTTTTCTTCTTCTTCTTCTTTTTCACCCCCAAAACCAGCAGATGCTGCGTTAAACCTGCGTTTTTGCCGGAAACAAGCTGCGACACGGAGCTTCACAGCATTTTTGTAGTTCCCCCTTCAAGTAAAAATAACCATTTCGCTGCAGTGTYGGCTTGTCTGTACATTTCCACTGTGGAGAGCCGCTACATGGCACAGGCGTTTTTCTGTTTGGTCCCTGCGGGTGATGGATCCGTGTCCTTGGAATGGTAGTCCAAAGTAGTTATCCAAACCAAAAGCGTATTGTCTTAAAAATATTTAAAAAGCCGAAACAAAATCCAAAAAAAGAGAGAAAAGTTCGGTGTTTGTTTTGTGAGAATCACTGACTCGTTTGTTCGTCCAAGAGTGCAAAGCTGCGAAGTCTCTGCGCCAAAACGACTGCAACAGAGCGGCGAACAGTCCGAGATAGTACAAATAAAAATGAAGTCTCTCGGAGCCCACGGAGAGGGAAGCCAGCGGGGGCAGAAGCGGGCAGGTCGGCCAGAAGCACTGCGTCTTTACGCAAACACGCACACAGGAGCGAAACCGGGCACCTGATTGCGCGTAACGAGCCACTTTGGACACATCCGCTGGGAATACAGCGCCGTCTGCAGCAGATTAGGGGCCGACCTGGGATTAGCTTCCACAAAGTAGCCTATCAGAGCTGCTGGCACGGTCTGTTTCATTGTAGGACGTATGCCAGTTATGCGTTTGGTTCGGTGCAGTGGTCTAAGGAGGCGCAGTTTATTCAGGATACTTTTCCTCACAGATTTGTCAAGAAAACAAATAAAAACTAAACAGATGCAGACTTTTCATTAGAAAAAAATCATAAATTGTAACTTTGGATTTTTAAATGTTATTTGCTTCAACATTATTTATACACAATTGTGATTTGTTTCTACAGATTAAAATAATGTTTAAATTACACTGCAATAAATAAATACAGTGATCATATTACATGAAGACAATTCGTCCATCCATCCATCCATCCATCCATCCATCCATCCATCCATCCATCCATCCATCCATCCATCCATCCATCCATCCATCCATCCATCCATCCAAGTATTTTTTATTCAGTTTTGAGGGTAGCTGGTGCTTGTCGTCAATAAAGTTAAAAAAAAATCAAATCTCAAAAACATTTTGGGTCATGTTTTTATTTTTTAAGATAAACCTGTCTTGACTGATTAAACCATTGAGGAGTGAGTTGTCTTTCATTCATGGTTCAAGCACACAAACACAATACAGTCAAAGTCAGCACATCACGTTCCTGCACTTTACAACCTTGGACATTTTTATACTAAAACATAAACTAGTGCATGAAGCTGRTAACATTTATTATTAATATTGTTACTATTTTTAAGTATAAACTATAATCCAAACTGTTCTCATGGAAAGATAAAGGGACTTGAAAATTTATTTAGATACAGTGATCAAATAGAAACATTTTCTTTTTTTCAGTTTCACAGTTGGGTGTAATACATTATCTGATATTTACCAACATGATAGATTTACTGTGTCAGATAAACTATTGTACATGATACATTACATTGTGTTGCTTTTTTGTAAAATAAAAAAAAGAAAAACTGCAGAAACAGCTGTGGAAAAGCGAAGACCATCCTTGTTGTTTCCATGGGGATTAATAGGGTAAGTAGCAGCCAGGTGCTCCTGATAAAATGCACATGCTCATTAGCAAGTGTGAGCTTCAAAGTAAGTTCAAAGACAGTCTATTGTCTGCACAGGGCAATGTGCCACCAAGTGAAGTCATCCAGTGAGAATTCACATTCCTTTTTCAAAAGACAGTTGCCAAAAGGCAATGCGTGTAAATTCAACTCACTTATTAAGCAGAGGGTTCTCTTTTTTTCTCTCTCTCTTGCAGGGCCATTCCTTTGTTGTTACAAACCTAACTATTTCTTTGTTGTTACAAACCTAACTTCACACATTATTCACAACACTATGCTCTGAAACTATATATGGCTTCCTATGCAAAATTACTTAAAAAAAGAAAAGAAAAAAAAGAATTGTAAATATCAAACTTATGAAAACATCAGTGACAGCAACGGTGAGTCATTACATCTGTGTCCCTGCCTCCAATGTGCTTCGGGTTTGGCTGAATTCTTTTTGTCAAACCAGCTCCCAGGTGGATTTTTTWAGAAAATTACAAGTAAAAGAACCAGCATATTTAAACACATCTGCTCTCAAGTCTTTAGAGGCAAACAAGAAACTGAAAGTAAAAGGAATAAATCTTGAGGCACAATTCTTCTTTGAAAGATGTAGGTCTGTGGGTAAGATAGGTGATGGAGGAAAAAGAACACTTTGTAATTTAAAATAAGCCTAAATTTGTGACAAAGCTAATATGTAATTTTGATAAAAGGCTTAAACTGCAGTTTACCTAATCTCTGCAACAACAAAAGCTTGTGAATAACATCCCTGCAATTAACTAAAACTAAAAATAAGCCTCAAAGGAAGGATAAAAATGGGTTCTAAAAAAGAAAGAACAAAACTAATTTTACTTTTATTTTCCTCAGTTTGTGAAGGATTATCCAACTGATGATGAGTCACAAAAGATGAAGTCAYTGATTAAGTTCTTGGGATTTGAAATGAGTTAGAAGTACTTAATCTGAACACTAAAAAAAAACAAGGATACAGGAAACATTCAGGAGCTTTCATTCTAAATTTGAGAATAGCATATTTTATTGCATTCAGATGAAGTAATACAAGTTAAGGTGTGTTAGCAAACCGAGCAGGAAATCATTCTATCATCATCAGCATTGTCTGGGCTTGTTATTAAAGGACGAAATTCTGAGGATGAACTGAAGTCATAAAAATGCTATCTAGCCTGATTTTAAAACCATTTGACTGTATTCTTACACTGATAAATATTTGATGGCATGCTGTATGCTAGTGGAGTAATCAAGACCACCTAAACCAGGGCTATTCAATTAAATTTGTCTGGGGGCCACAGTTACTGCAGGTCAACTGCAGTCCAACAATTAAAGTTACTGTGTAAATAAACCAATTATTACACAGATCTGTTACCTTTGAAATAGCTCATTTTACTGTATTTAATCATGAATACAACATACAGAACCCTATAAAAGTAGTGATAATTAAACAATATCAAAAACAAAAAGAACACACTATGCGTCCTATTTGACACAAAAATTATTTTGACATCTCTGACTTGCCAAATTTATAAACCAATTTTATTTTCACTTTCATAATTTTATCTTCAGCTGCTTGTAAATTTTCTTGAGTGTGCATAGAAATAGTTTTACCAGCTTGTAGACAAGATTCTGATGTTTCTGTAGATACCAAACATGCCTGTATTTAACTAAAAGAAATTATAGTAGAAAACTGGGGGTTTGGACTTGAGATGAATAAAKCAATTGGCGGGCCAAACATTGGTCACGCGCGGGCTGGATGTGGCCCGTGGGCTGCCAGTTGAATAGCCCTGACATGAACAAAGCAGAGTAGTGAAAAACAGAACCTCTGTTAGGGGCAAAGAAGCATTTAGTATTGTTCCATATCATATCATCTCATATTGTTGTATACAGTATATGTCCTGATGCATCTCAGTAATCCAGGTAAAAATCAAAAAGAAAAAAATTGTGTAGGTCTTCTGGATGGGTTCTTCTCTAATGAAACGTTACGTCTCTTCTCCAAGAGACTTCTTCAGTCTGAGAGTTTCAGGCAAAATTCAGGCTTTTAAGCCCTGCCTCCGTGTGACTGATACTCACATCACATGGCTATAATTAGGTGTCAACGATAGCCACGTGATGTGAAAAGCCCAGCCTCCATCTTAAGCAGATAAGTTTGAGTAACTTTGTGAGCAGTTCAGAACTAATGGCAAGATGGACCCAGGAATCAGGTCATTGCAAGTGGGATATTAATCTGGCATGTTCTAGTGAAGAAGGGACTCACTCTACCTTTCACTGGTCCATCTGCATTCCATTCCTCACCTTTGGAT